TTTGATGAAGTCCAAGTAAATTTTTTTCTTTTAGTTGTCTTTACTTTGGTGTCTTACTTAGAAATATTTCGAGCCCTACATCCCAATATTTTCTCCTGTGTTTTCTTCTAGAGTTTTTATAGTTTTATATTTGACATTTAAATCCTTAATTCATTATACAGAGTTACTTCTGTATATGGTATGAGATTTAGGTTCACTTTTTTGGTCTATGGATATCCAATTGCTCCAGTACGATTTGTTAAAAGATTATCATTCCTCTATTGAGTTGCTTTTGTACCTCTGTCAAAAATCACTTGGCTGCTCTCGTGTGGGGCTATTTCTGCTTTATTTTGTTCAGTTCATCTTGTGTCTATCTCTCTGCCAATACTACATAGTTTTATTACTATATAATGTCTTGAAATCTGATAGATTTCTCCCACTTTCTTTTCTCTTTAAAGAGATTTATTTTTTTATTTATTTTTAGAGAGAGAAAGTGAGAGAGCAAGCAGGCGCAGGGCCAGAGAAAGAGAATCTCAAGCAGGCTCCCCACTGAGCGCAGAGCCCTAAGCAGGGCTTGATCTCAAGACCCATGAGATCATGACCTGAGCCGAAACCAAGAGTCGGACACTCAAACAACTGAGCCATCCAGGATCCCCTCCCACTTTCTTTTTCAATAGTTTAAGTATTCTAGCTCCTTGGCCTTTCCATATCAATTTTAGAATAATCTTGTGTACGGCTATAACAATCTTGCTGGGTTTCTAATAGGAATTGCGTCAAACTATCAATTTGGGGAGAATTAACATCTTCACTATGTTAAGTCCTTTAATCCACGGACATGATATAGATTCCCATTTATTTAGATCTCCTTTGATGTCTTTCATCAGCCTTTTGTAGTTTTCAACCTCCAAATCTTGTCCATGATTTGTTAGATTTACACGTAAGTATTTCTTTTTTGTGTTGAGCAATTATAAATATTGCTGGTATATAAGATACAATTTTATATTCTTTTATATTTGATATTTTCTTATATATTTTATATTCTTTTGCATGTACTTTTGCATTTTTATCTAGTGTTTCAGCTCCCAAATTAGGATTAGTTTTATGCAATCAATGCTTCTCTGGATCCTTTTCCTTCCTCTGAAAGAACATCTTTTAAAGGTTCTGTCAGTACACTCTTCCTTATAAACTTTCTACTTACTTATAAATGGTTTTCTATTGGGGCGTCTGGGTGGCCCAGTCAGTTAAGCATCTGCCTTCGGCTCAAGTCATGATCTCAGGGTCCTGAAATCAAACCCTGTGTGGGGTCTCCCTGCTCAGTGGGGAGTCTGCTTCTCCCTCTCCCTTTGCCCCTCTCCCCACTGACCCACCCCTGCTCATGCTCGCTCTCTCAAATACATACATAAAATCTTTAAAAAATGGTTTTCTTTTGCCCTTCTTTTAAATGAGTTTGCCTATATAGAAAGTTTCAAATTGCCATTTTCTCTACAACTGGTATTATTCTATTATTCTGACTCTGGCATTCTTTTTAAGTGTACTGCATATGACAGTTTAAGTAGGCTCTTCCTAGCTGCTATTATTATCTTTTTCTATGGTGGTCAGTTGTGCTCTCTATCATGGAATGTCTCATTAGGTAGGTAGTTTATCCTGTTAGTAGCTCATTTTGCTTCCTGAATCTGAGGTTTCTTACCCTTCCTAAAGTCTGGAAAAATTTCAGCCATTTTATCCTCAAACGTTGCTTCTCTCTCATTCTGTTCTCTCCTTCTGCAACTTCCATTAGCTTTATTTTGGACCTCTTAATTTTATTTTTCTGGTTTCTTACCCTTCCTTTTCCTTACTGGGATTTTTCCTGAGTAAATTCCCCAGAGCTTTCACACACCATTTCAAACCAATTCTGTTGTGTCCAATACAGCTAACTTATCCATTTAAATATTCTGTGGAGGTCATAACACAATTAAAGATCTGAACAATAAGGAGTATGGGGTTTCACTCTGAGAAACTGATGAAGTCTGGAGATGGAGGATGGTGATGGTTGCACAGGAATGTGAATATACTTAATGCCCCTGAACTATATACTTAAAATGGTTAAAATGGTAAAATTTTGTTATATTTTACCACAATAAAAAATCTGAAGAACAAAAAAAGGATACCCAGGGCAGGCTTATTCCTCTCCAGTCTTTACCCACTGCATTCCTTCCCCATTCATGCTCTATAACCACTTTCATTGGATTTTTAATGTCCTTCTAGCATTTTGGTTTTTAAAATGTAAATTCTAACCAAGTCAAATATAGGTCTTATTTCCTGTACCCCTTTTAGTTTTTTACACTATTTTTCCATCAATAATGTATTCTGAATCCTTTCCAAATTAGTAGTGCATCCTCATTCCTTCTTTATAGCTGTGTAACATTCTAATTGTATAGATGTAGGATAGTTTATTTTGATGGTCTTTGTAATTCCACATTGCGTTATTTCAAATACTTTATTGTCATAAGTAGTGCTTCTCATTTGAAATATTTACTTGAGTGGCTGTTCTTCATTTCTAGAAAAATTTTTTCCAACTTGCGATTTCTGGTACTGTGTTTACACTTGTTTATTCTTTTGTCTCCACTTAATACTCATACTTCCTGTTTCTTAAGTTCCCAAGAGTCTAATGATCTTTCTAGCTTTTGTGTCACCTGGAATCATTTGTGGCAGGTAGACTGTTCCCTCCTCTGGTTTGTACTTTGGGGGAGTTGAGCTCACTTTCAGCAATTTATGCTGCCTATGTTGAGATGTCATCTCCATAAAGAACTTACTTCTTCCAGGTGCTCAAGAGGCAGAGCCAGTCCAAGGAGATTCTTGATATTAACTTAGGAGCTTATGTTTTCCAGGCCTCAGAAATAGTATAAATTCAAAATCCAAATCTAGATGAATAGAAGCTCCTAGTTAAACATTTTCAAGAGAAGAGCTCCCTCTTCCAATCCAGGGCCCTGGCCAGATTAGGTAAATTTTCCCCTTTCCTTCCTGAGGAGGCAGAATGTTTTTCTAGTTCATTTTGTGGCACAGAGTGCAGCCCTTATAAGGGTCCTGGCTATTCGCCAGTGAGTTATTTTCTGAGCCCCAAAGTTAGGTGTACCATATGGGTTTTTAGTTTCCTTTTCAGTTCTCTCTGGGCACTGGAGATTGTAATTCTTTATGGTAAGCTGGTTTTTACCCTAGTTTATTTGGCACTTCTAAGTGTTCTGAATTATATGGAATAAACTTTTTGTTTACAGCATTTAAATTACCTCACAGGGGCAGACCATGGAGTCAGGCACATCACTCTGAATCCTGGCTGTTACACATAATAGCTCTGTAACTATAGGCAAACAGTTCATCTCTCTAGCTATCAGTTTCTCCTATAAAACAAAAGATAAAGTTGATGTAAGGATTATATTAATAAAGAATATAAAATGCTTAGTATAGTGCCTAGAATATCTCAACTACTTACTTTTCACTTTTTAGTAATTTTTACAAAATAAAATGGTATGTTGTTAGGAGGGTGGAAATATGTCATGTATCTACCTTTTTTTTTTTTTTAAGATTTTATTTATTTGACAGAGAGAGACAGCGAGGGAGGGAACACAAGCAGGGGGAGCGGGAGAGGGAGAAGCAGGCTTTCCACTGAGCGGGGAGCCCGATGCGGGGCTGGAACCCAGGACCCTGGGACCATGACCTGAGCTGAAGGCAGACGCTTAACGACTGAGCCACCCAGGCGCCCCTACTTTTACCTTTTTTTTTTTTTTAATTAAACTCTATGCCCAGCATGGGGCTTGAACTCATGACCTCGAGATCAAGAGTCGCATGCTCTACTGACTGAACTAGCCAAGAGCTCATCGTGAATCTACTTTTAAAATAGCCATAACACTGATTTCAAGAGACAAATTTCCCAATTATTTATATATACATAAGACACTGCCGCTGTCAATTGAGATTAACAATACCATACCCTGACCACATCTAACCATGAACAAAATAATTGAAAAAGGATGATGAAATAAAAGATTATCATATGAAATAAGGTGCTGTTGTGAAGTCTAGAAGTTGCAGACAATATTTTGGTATACAGAACTCCCTTACCATTAGGGTGATCCAAAAATGGAACAAGCTCCCTCACAAAAAGATGAGCTGGTCAATTTTAAGTACTCAGAAGCAGAAAGTGAAGGACTGTTTAAGAGATGGGATAGAAAGGATTCCTTTATTGGGAAATGCTAGAAGTCAACAGTGAGCTTTTTTTCAATGCCGATAGCGCTCTCGCAAACATGGTGAACGTTCCTAAAACCCGCTGGACTTTCTGCAAGAAGTGTGGCAAGCACCAGCCCCACAAAGTGACACAGTACAAGAAGGGCAAAAATTCTCTTTATGCCCAGGGAAAGCAGTGTTATGACAGGAAGCAGAGTGGCTATGGTGGGCAGACTAAGCCAATTTTCTGGAAAAAGGCTAAAACTACAAAGAAGATTGCGCTGAGGCTTGAATGTGTTGAGCCCAATTGCAGATCTAAGAGAATGCTGGCTATTAAGAGATGCAAGCATTTTGAACTGGGAGGAGACAAGAAGAGAAAGGGCCAAGTGATCCAGTTCTAAGCTTCATATTTTGTTAATATTATGAAGACAATAAAATCTTGAGGTTATGTTCACTTCAAAAAAAAAAAGTCAACAGTGAAATAAAAGGAGAAAAACTATTTGGATACTGCCTCATGACACTAATTTAAAAATCCCATGAATACTGCATGAAAGGAGGAGGCTTGGAAACACCAAACTAAACTTCTTAAACACATTAGAAACACTGTAAACCAAATTTAAGAATTTTTTTTAGCTTATTCAAATTGAGTAACAGGAGAAGCTTTTCTCATGCCTCGTTTTATTCCAAGTCAACCATACCATCATCAAAATTCTCTCCTGAATGTATGTTATGATTGTATTGCCATTTTCTCCCTTTTCAGTATAGACAGCCATTCGAAAGCAAACCCAAATATTAAAAATAGTATTTGAGAAAGCAGTCACAGAAAAGTCAGAATGAAATTTTATTTCACATTGGTAGAAACCATGAAAAAGATTTACATTTTCCCACATTAGAGCACAACATTTCAACAGAATATTTCTTGCCATAAATTAGATCTTGCTGATTTGTATAATTGAAACAACAATTTATATTCTTCAAGGTAAAGCAAAATGACTTAGTAAATGATTGTTTAAAAATTTTAAATCCAGACATAAACATATGGCTTCATTATTAACATTCTGTACAGTCATTACTAAATTATTTCCATTATCAATTAGCACCCATTTATAAAGATGCATTCCTAACATTGTTTTAGTCAGTTGGAATACAGCAGAAAAATTAACAACAGTTCAGAAATATCAAGTATACATTTTTGCTACATATTAAACTGTGGTAACTACACCCTATGTATTGAGTTGCGATTAATCTTTATCACCCATAAATTTGTTTTCCAATAATTTTTACCAATAATCTGAAAAATTCAACTACTTAAAGTCAAATAATTGCTACTTTTATGTTTGCACAAAAACTAAATTAAAAAAAAAAAACCCATCTGACTAAAGTGAAGTTTTCAAAAAAGTTCACTGGCAGATAAAAATAAAGCAAAATTTTCTAATGGACTGTTCATTTTCTACAGTAGTTGGTTTCAAACATATGTACAAAACAAGTAAACTAAAACTATGCTCGAGGAGAATCATCTTAGAGCAAATCATCTTAGAAATTAGTTTTTAAGATCTGTCTTAAATATTCCAGAACATACTAGAATATGACCTACATATTCTTTCAGTTAATTACAGAAAAATACAACCACAGAATTATTCCCATTATCTAGACTGAAGATTCTAATAACTATATAGGTCTAACTTTGGACTAAGGTACAGTTTAAGAAATAAGTAGTGTAGGAAGTTTAAAGGTTTCTTTATACAAGTGTAAATACATTTTAAATACCATCAAACCTGTGATTCAGAATGTCAAACTACAGCATGTATTGGCAGCAGATGTCTATGGCAAGGAGGCAATATTTGGTCTATTATGAAGGATAAAAAAGAAAGAACAGATTTCCAGAGATGAAAAAAAAATACTAAATAGAAATGATATCAGGGAAAATAAAGCCTGGTCCCCAAAATAAAAGGGCCATTAACTGAACAGAGGAATATTACTCTTTATTGACCTTAGAAGCATTATCCCTATTATTGGGAATAATGTAGTAACATATTCTCATTATGTATTACAATCATTAAGTATATAATGAATACATATATAAAAATACGGATAATGCATGGTGACTAAGTAATTTTGGAATAAGTCCATAGACTAAGTCACAGCATGCATAAATCATTTATATCTTAACTGCTCATTTATACCTAAACAAATTTTCATTAAGCATACTAATAATTGTCAAATGATGTAAGAAAAAATCTGGTTACAGTATTTTATTATTTTGCTGAATTACATTTGGGAAAAAGAAGCTTAGGTGCTTCACCTATTTTAATACTAGTATATTCTGAATCATATTATACAAATACATGTATAGAAACCTAAAAGAAGACCATCTTTCCCACAAGGAGATAGTATCATGTAGTCTGTGTCATTGGTGTGTATTTGCAAAACATCTTAACACTGCAAACATTAGAAGTTTCAAGACTGGGCACGGGAAAAGGTTTATACGCTACTACAATGATGCTGGTGTGCACTTCTACAGAAGGCCTCTTAGTGACATCAATCAACTGGAGGTAGAAGTTTATCAATGAACTGCTTGATATCCATCATTTCCTGTTTGGAATAAAGTGATTTAATAGGCAGTTACAAAATCAGAAATTAAATCCCCACTAAAATACCACCAACTAAATTTGTGGTGTGCCTAGGTAAGGTGAAACCATATTTTTACTACTTCAATTAAATGAAAAATTATAACAGAGAAATGAGGCTTCAATAGAAATTTCAGAACATCTCCTGCAACTAGGATTATTATTGTACATTCAAATGATAGCTCCCAACTATTATGCAATCCCATGATAATGGTCTGCACTTTGCTATACCTGAACAAAATAAAACACAGGGGTTGGGTGAGAGAAGGGGGCTTAGAAGTAACAAAATCTATCCAGAGAAATATCAGTAAGGATACAATTACGGTCAACTAAGCATGGGTAGAAAAACCTAGCTTTTAACTTTCCCTCATTAGAATGAAATGCTAAATCCGTAGCAGAAAATATTTTGTGCCTTTCACAAGGATTTACATACAACCAACCATTTAAAAGACACCATGTACCTATGATAGGCCTGGAAAGATGAAAAAGAAGATATCAAGTATTTATTACAAAAGAAACGTTTCTATAAGACTCCTGCCATGTGGTTCGGTTTTCTCACTCCCCTCAAATAATTTCCTACTATAATCTCTAGTATTTCAAGGTTTAACCCCACAGACCCACAAATTAGCCATGCAAAGAGCCTTCACCCTTATAATTTAGTCACTCAGAAAATAAAGCCACAGCACAGAAGTGCTCTATTTTACAATGTTCTAAAGTCCTGGAAGTTTCCTGGTGACAATACCTCCTACCATTTTACCTCTTCTCACTTTCTGCTCATCATTCAGTCCAATGTTCTCCAATGTGATTGCACAAAGAATCCTCAGCTTTTATTTTACCTTTTTTTTTCTTTTTATGTAAGCTCTGTGCCCAACTTGGGGCTTGATCACACAACCCTGAGATCAAAAGTTACATGCTTGGGGTGTGCAAACAGTGTGCGACCCTTGATCTCAGGTTTGTAAGTTCCAGCCCCACACTGAGTGTAGAGATTAGGTAAACAGCATCTTTTTTTTTATTTTTTAAAGATTTTATTTATTTATTTGTCAGAGAGAGAGAGAGCACAAGCAGGGGGAGCAGCAAGCAGAGGGAGAAGCAAGCTCCCTGCTAAAAAGCCCAATGTGGGACTCAATCCCAGGACCCTGGGATCATGACCTGAGCCGAAGGTAGCTGCTTAACCCATTGAGCCACCGAGGCGTCCCTGGAACTTTTATTTTAAAAACACATCCATATAAACACAAATACCTGAGTTTACCTGCTAACCCCCAATGTGCTGAATCAGAATTGCGGAGTTTGGAGTTCTGGTGTCTGAATGTTTATTAAGCTCCAGGGTATTTGTGATATAAAGCCTACTTTGGAAACCAATGCTCTAGACCCTCAGTCCCTCCTGGATACTCAGAGTGCCAGCCTGTTTTCTGGATTCAACACTTGCTGATGGTTTCAACTATGTTCTCAGTAACAGGCTAGAATCCCAGCCCCCTTATCTTTCTGGATAAATCATATTACTAACACTTTTTTCTGTCCGTAAAACAAATGATTCAGCCAGGCTAAGTGGTTACAAAACAGTTTTGTTAGGGACTACCTCAATGCTTGGCAATTAATTTTTATTTTAGGCCTTTTCAAGCCTCCAAACCGATGCAGGCCTCCTTCATTCTTATCAAGTGACCGTATCTCCTACTTTACTGAAAAGACAAAGAGGATCTAATGTGAACTCTCAACTAGTACTACCTCAGCAATCCTTGTTCATATTCATCCATCCTCTTCTAGATTCTTAAGTGTTGTTCTCCTCTTTGAAGGCAAGCACTACCCATTTTAGGGCTTATTTACATTATTAGATCTCCCTAAGATTCCCCCATTAGATTATTCTCTTCTCTTCATCGCATTTTCTTCCTCCCCCCCCCGCCAAGGGAGTCTTTTTCTCCCATCCACTAAAGAGAGTTTTTTTTACTTTTTTCCCCCTTCACAAAAACCTAATTTTTAATAAAGGTTGATACATGTTGCCTCTACTTTTCCCATTTCTCTATCCACTTTACATAATCCACTGCAGGCTCCATCTCCCCAAACATCCAAGGTCACAGATGGCTTACTATTGGGTAGTTTCTTCCTGGCCTATTTTTCCTCACTCATTCTCTGAATCATGGCACACTGTTCCCTCCCACTCTAAAACTCTTTTTTTTTTTTTTTTAAGATTTTATTTATTTGACATAGAGTGAGAGAGTGAGGGAGAGCACGAGCAGAGGGGAGGCAGGAGAGGGAGAAGCAGGCTCCCCACAGAGCAGGGAGCCCGAGTGGGACTCAATCCCAGGACCCTGGGATCATGACCTGAGCCAAAGGCAGATGCTTAACTGACTGAGCCACCCAGGGACCCCTTTTCTTTTTTTTCTTAAATAACCTAACCAATTTTTAAAGAAGTTTGTGTATGTATATATGTAATCTCTACACCCAACACGGGGCTCAAACTCACAACCCCAAGATCAAGAGTTGCACACTCTTCCGACTGAGCCAGTCAGGTGCTGTACTGAAATTCTCTCCTCCTGTACTCTCGTTCCACATTTAACTCCTTCTAATTCCCTCCCAAGTTCTATCCCTCGGCTTTTTTCTCATGATATTCTCCCATGGTAATTCTTCAGTGATTAATAATATTGGCAATTATTCTAAATCTCTATTACAGGCTTGAGCCTCAGACAAAGATTTCCAACATCCCATTTTGTTATCATGGGGGGTACACCAATCTCAGTATGTTCACTAAACTCAGTACTATCTCCTTCCTATTACCCTAAAACTGTTCCTTGTACCTACTTTATGAATGGCATCCTGCTCTAGGACAGCCAGCTTTTCATAAGACTATGGCCCAACTGGACAGCTTGCTTTCCCTTTTCCTTTCTCTGCACACTTGCTATCAAAATCCTACCCATTCTTCTAAATCTAGCTTTTTCTTCATGATCTCAGTACTTCTCAAGATAAAATTAATCTCACTCTTCTCAGTGTTTTAGGGAACTTTAAAAACTTCTAATATAACACTTATCACATTCTGTTTTCTACACAATTATTTGGATATATATCCTCCCCTATTAAATTTTAAATTTTATTAATTTAGCTTAAATTTTAATAAAAAGGACTGTTTTTTATTTATCTTTGAGTTATGTACAAAGCTTGCATGCAATAGGAAAACAGTGAATGTTTGTTGAATTAAATTGAATAAATGCTGATCTAAATCCTGCCAACCTATGATTCTATGTGAATTCATTAACTCCTTTAAATCCCCAAGCAATCAAATGTTACTTATGTTAAAAATATCCCATGAAAAAAGTTGCAAATATGTGTCTGTAATCACTGCTTCCAATTACCTGTTGACATGAACTGTGCTTCATGCCTTCATAGGTTTTGAAGGTTACATTGACTGGATTTACTAATGTTTTTAGCTTTTCGGCAGTAAGAGAAGCAAACATTAGGGGAACTAAAGGATCGCAATCTCCATGGCACTGAAGAATAGAAATATCTCTATTAATGCCACTGATAGGCCCCTGCAAAAAATAAAAGAAAACTAGTATTATTTATTCAAATGTATAGAGTATTATATGCCAGGCATTTACAACTATAGACAGATATGCACATACAGTATGTTACTTACATCATAGGTTCTATTCGGCCACGGAACTAAAATTCCTTCTATCCCTATACTCCCCACAACTCTTTAGTTAAACTTTTATAGGACATATGATTACCCTGTTTTGCCTTTTTTTTTTTTTTAAGATTTTATTTATTTATTTAGAGAGCACGCAAGCAGGGAGAGGGGCAGAGGGAGAGGGAGAGAAAGAATCTCAAGTAAACTCCCAGCTGAGCACAGAGCCTGACATGGGGCTTGATCTCATGACCCTGAGATCATGACCTGAGCTGGAATCAAGAGTCAGACGCTTAACCAAATGAGCCACCCAGGTGCCCCTACCCTGTCTCGTATTACTGTTTTCCCAATGAAGTGGTTCCTTGAAGAAGACTCTTTCTTAATTATTCTTTATATGTTCACAGTGTCTTGAGATGAGAGGTATGTTTTAACTGAATCATGTTCTTCTCAGTTCTTATTTAATTGATTTAAATAAGATGGTTAATAGGGGCGCCTGGGGGGCTCAGTTGTTAAGCGTCTGCCTTCGGCTCAGGTCATGATCTCAGGGTCCTGGGATTGAGCCCCGCGTCAGGCTCCCTGCTCGGTGGGAAGCCTGCTTCTCCCTCTCCCACTCCCCCTGCTTGTGTTCCCTTTCTTGCTGTGTCTCTCTCTGTCAAATAAATAAATAATCTTAAAAAAAAAAAAAAAATCTTAAAAATAAATAAATAAATAAATAATCTTTAAAAAAAATAATCTTAAATAAATAAATAATCTTAAATAAATAAATAAATAATCTTAAAAAAAAAAAAAAAAGATGGTTAATAAACAGCACTTAGTATGTATAAGACACCAAAGAATTACTATATAGTGATGAGGAAAAAAATCCTAGATTTATTTATTTATTTTTTTTAATTTTATTTGTTTATTCATGAGAGACAGAGAAAGAGGCAGAGGGAGAAGCAGGCTCCCAAGGAGCCGGGAGCCCGATGCGGGGCTCGATCCCAGGACTCTGGGATCATGACCTGACCCGAAGGCAGACACTTAACCATCTGACCCACACAGGAGCCCAAAATCCTAGATTTAAAAGTGAATTTGAAAATAAATATCCACTTCTCCCATGTTTATTATATATTGCTTTACACTACTGAGTACTTAGAAATTCTATTCTATGGTAAAATTCATCAAGCAGTAAAAATATTGAACTTTTGAAAATATTATGTGTAAAACACTGTCCTAATTTATATATACATTTTAAAATATATCAAACACTTCAAATATAAGATTTATGACAAAAGGACTTATTTCTTACTCCAGTCTCTGCAATCCACAATAAAGACAATATAGTATTCAGATAAAGCCTACTAGTACATCACAAAAGTCTAGGAAGATTATTTTTTAAAAAGGATGACTGATATAAACTATGGGCTTTGGGTGATGACCTGACACATTCTAACAAATGTACCACAGGGTTGCAGGGTGTCCATAGCCTGTGCACCAATAGGAACTTACTGTGCTTTCTGCTCAACTTTGCTATGAACTTAAACTTCTCTAAAAATATATAGTTGATTAATTAAAAAAAAAAAAAATGAACCTCTCCCCAACATTATCAGTAATGTTACAGGTATCATTCAGGCTACCTGTGGAAATGAAGCCTGGAGTGGAAGCCAGCAACTGAGTGCAGTGACACCGGCCAGTTTCTGCTGTGTGGTGAGAGCAGTGTATAAAGATAAAGCTCCTCCCTGGAAAGACAAGCAGAGAAAAGTCAGTGGAACACATCCTCTGCTAGCAGCAACTTAAGAGATTTCTTGTTATTAATGATGTCCATTAAAGAAAAAAATCAACCTGTGTGGTTGATGTCAAATCAAATCAGGCAAGCTAGCAGAAATACATACATACTCCACCCCACCATGTCCTAAAGGACATGATTCTCTACACTGAAGACCACTGTGAGAACATAGCAACCACCCAATCAGTTAAGAAACAGTTAATTGTATATTTAAATGCACTTACAACTGCCTTAGGAACATTCTAAACTTATACTTATTTGCTCCTCTGAAAAGTCTTAGGTATAAAATCAAACTTAGTCTTTAAGCTGGTAATCTTTTCTACAACAAAAAGTCAAATAATAAGGACTCTGTAGCAGACACCTTTAGAGTATCTGTCTACCCAGCTTACAATACCCGGCGCTCTGGGAAGAGCATTCCCATTAGTTATCTGGATGCCACGTCACTCTGACCATGCCTGTGGGTCACTGGGCCCCATGAGAACATGAGATTCTTTCTCATCCAAGATAGTCATGTTCCTTTTCTCAAGATTTTGAAATTGGGATTCAGTGACTGTCAGTCTGTCTCTTTGGATGGCTGGAACGGTAACCTGTAAATTCAACAACTGGAAAAGCTACAGGCTGCAAAGGTGGAGAGCGCCAACTGTAGATGAAGAGGCAAATGAAGCAGATGAGCAGAAAAAACAGGAGATGGAGAGAAAGCCGTGAGGGCTTTCCAAATCTTAGCTATTTCCTGAGGCTCTGATTCATTCTCATCCTTGGTTTTCCTGATGTGATCCCACAGACTCATAACCTGCTCTTTCTTGCTTAAGGTAAGAGGAATTCCTTTCTGTAAATTGTAATCAACGAATCTCAACTATACAGTCTCCTATGTTAGCTTTTGTATTCGAATCAAGTATTCATTTCTGTACCTATATTTACATCACGATGTGCATTACAATAGACATTATCTTGACTTCAACAAATACCAAACCAGTAACATCTTTTTACTATATTGTATTGACAACCTATCTTCCTACTGAATTCTAACTTCTAAAGAATTCCATAATTCTGACATTGTCCTAATTCAGGTAGTCTGAACACTAAGTTGTTGATTTCGAAGCTTTACAGATTAGAAGCTAGAGCAATTTGGGATGGGTGAAAAGGTGAACATGTGATAAGCTGAAAGAAAGATATAAGGTCAATACGAGATAACTACATCTGCAGAAAAAGTATAGAAGGTAGGAGAAAAAGTACAGACAGAAGAAGAAAGATGCCAAAAATAAACATCACATATTTAAATCTACAATCTCTTTCATAAGACAGAAAGAGTAAAGATGATAGAGTGACATCAGCATGATGGGACACAGGTCATTCCTAACTTTGCTCCCTCCTAAAAGAACTAACATCTAATCATGGACAGGACACCACCGAGAGAATCTTAGCACATGGCGGGGAGAGGGTGAGGCTGAGGCACCCCCTGCACCACAGAGACCAAGAGAGACCACACTGAAAGGTAAGAGAAATGGCTATACGCTGACTGCATTGCCCCTCTCCCAAGCCAGTGCAGCACCACCTGGAGAGTATCCCCAGAGTGTCTGGTGCCTGTTGTGGGAGAAGAGAACCCAGGGGGAACAACCAGCAACCTCCAGCATTGTGGGACACTTTGTGGATTTTGCCCCAAGGAGGGAGTTTGTGGGGCTCAACCACTGGGAATCTGTGACAAAAAGAGGGAAGAAATTCTCTTGTTTTCTACTTTACTGTTCCTATTAGTAGTCTCCTCCTAGGACAGGGGAATTGTACTTGTGTTTATCAAATTAGAATTTTGTTTAAAGGGGTACACAGCATCAACTTAGATACCTAAACTACATGTGTCCTAATTATTTTAAGAAAATATATTCCAAGTTCTAATCAATTTACTTATTAATAAATTGACTTTCAAGACATAATCTAGAAGTTGAAGGCAATTGCTGGAGAGAAAACTAGAAAAGCAGAAGAGTATATTATCATAATTAACTACATCTAGTCCATTCAAACTTAATTCAGCATTAAAGGTAACAGCATATATATATTAAAAAAAAAAAACAGTATATCAGATTCTGTAACATGTACTGAAAAAAAGACTCCTCCATAGAAAACGACAGAACCCACAGACTCCTAGATAAATATACCAATGACGTATCACCCAAACTTCATCTTACCTGAGAAAATCCTCCCAAAACAATTCTGTTAGAAGGAATGCCATTCTTCACCTCTTGCTCTATCAAAGCTTTTACTAAAAACAACATAAAATTAAATCACTAATACTTTCAAAGTTAAGCCTAAAGATACCATTTTAAATAGGATACAATTAATTATAGAAAAGCACGAAGTGGGTGCCTGGATGGCTCAGTTGGTTAAGCGACTGCCTTCGGCTCAGGTCATGATCCTGAGTCCCGGGATCGAGTCCCACATCGGGCTCCCTGCTCAGCAGGGAGTCTGCTTCTCCCTCTGACCCTCCCCCCTCTCATGTGCTCTCTCTCTCTCATTCTCTTTCTCTCTCTCAAATAAATAAATAAAATCTTTAAAAAAAAAGCACAAAGTATATTAAAGGTCGAAACAAGTGAAAAACTTGAAGCACTCTACTAAAATACAAACCTAGAATGTATTTTCATTATAAAACTCATTTTGCAGGTGTTGCTTAAACTGTTCAATTATTTCTTACATAATTTATAAACAGTTCTTTCTCTTATCAATCAACGGATATTCTTTTATCTATGGTCAATTCAGCTCATATACATTTATATTTCTCTCCAATGAATCACAGGATTTGTACCTAAAAGTTACCATTTTAAAATATAAATAAAGTATATTATACAGTTTGTGATTTATAGTGTTTAAAAAGTTCATTCTATTATTTTTAAAAACTGTAGTACTAATTTTTCCTATAGCCAGTAAATGATGCAGGGAAAAAAATCAAATGAGTTCTTTTGTTTCTGCAAACTACTTTGACACAGATCATTAACTATAAAACTTGATGACTCCTAGAATTTCCTTTTTCTTTATAATCTGTCCAGTGTTTTTTTAGTAACTACACAAACTGTGTCCTTTCGTTTTTACATATGTGCAAGTTTCATTTTTTTTTTTTTTTTAAAGATTTTATTTATTTTTTTGACAGAGAGAGACACAGCGAGAGCAGGAACACAAGCAGGGGGAGTGGGAGAGGGAGGAGCAGACTTCCCGCAGAGCAGGGAGCCCGATGTGGGACTCGATCCCAGGACCCTGGGATCATAACCTGAGCTGAAGGCAGACGCTTAACGACTGAGCCACCCAGGCGCCCTCATTTTTTTTTTAAAGATTTTTTATTTATTGAGCGAGAGAGTACAACTGAGAGCACGAGCAGGGTGATGGTCAGAGGGAGAGGGAGAAGCAGACTCCCCGCTGAGTAGGGAGTCCGACACATGGCTCCATCCCAGGACCCCAGGATCATGATCTGAGCCAAAGGCAGATAGATGTTTAACCAACTGAGCCACCTAGATGCCCCAAGAGTTTCATTTTTCAAGATTAAAATTTCCAAGTTCATATTTCTTCCTTATCAAAAAATAAAAATCTGTTTTTTCTAAAACACTGCAAAAAACAAACGCCCAAATGAAAAATTATTTTCTTTTTATATAAAGTTTAGTACTGAGTTAGAATGAGTATGAAAAGTAATGCCCTGACTATGGCATGGAAGAATGGGCTAGAGAACAGCAAAGAGGGCTTAATAAATAAAAGAAGTGCTGAGAAATGTGAGGGATTTATTTAGGGGAGACGGCACAGCCTCAGTCAGATGGAGACTGTGCAAGTGGCAGGACTGAGCCTGGGTGGCTCAGTAGGTTAGGCACCAACTCTTGATTTCGGCTCAGGTCATGGTTTCAGGGTTGTGAGATCAAGCCCAGCGTTAGGCTCTGTGCTCAGCACAGAGTCTGCTTGTCCCTCTCCCTCTGCTTCACTTGCCACCCGGCAAGCTATTGGGACTACTTCCCCTGAGTTTCACAAAGCTTTACCCCTCAAGGTTACACCAAGCGCTGAAATAATGTTGACAAACTACAAAGACGTCAGCGGTGGAGCAGTGCGTTCCCATTTCAATCACCTTTTGCATACGGGCGAGGGCACCACTGTGCTCCCTGGACCTAACCTGAGCACTCTCTTCTTTGTTCAGGAGCTCACTCCTGTAGGCCTCAAACAGAGGCTCCATTCTTTCCTAGCTCTGAGTCTGAGCCTCACTTTCTCCAATAATACATCACCTTGGAAAGGAAAGAAATGGCTTGTATGTCACAGGCCAACTCTATCACTAGGATGGAACTTTTCACTCTGGAACTCACCAGGCTTACCAGTCTTCTCCACAAGGCCCTGCCCCTCCCTATCTCACAACTCACTCCCAAACCCAATACCTATTTTTGTCATTTATTACTGTTTGAAAAAATCCTAGCTCTAGGATTCTCGATTTGACCTACTTATTGATGATCCTAAAAAAGCCAGTGTTCTTGGTTTGACAGTCTCAAATCTCCACTGCATTTTGAGTGTATCTTCCCTGTTTTAAAGTTTTTAAGAGTTATTTAAAAACATTTTTAAAAAGGATCCTACTGGTTTTTAAGCTATTTTGGAAATTTTCAAACAAATCTAAAAATAGAAAGAGTGTGCAGTAACTCCCAGGTACGTATCACCTCACTTCTGCAACTATCAATTAATTCACAGCCAGGCTTGTGTCATCAATACCTGCTGCGCCACCACCCAATTATTCTCAAGTCAATCCCAGTGATCCCATCTATTTGTAAATACTTCAGTACATACATAAAAGGGTGCCTCTATACATTTTCTAAAACTAGATTTCTCCCAATAAACTAGTGTTCTTTATGCTTGCACCCTAAAAATAAACGGAATTATCATGTCCATAAGGAACATGGAATACCAACCAGAGAACACACTTTGGAGATTCTGTAAAGTAGAGCTAAGACTTATGTCATAGAAGTGTTAGATGATTTATAAGAATTACCTGGCTTCTTTAATAGCTAAGTGTTCAATCAGTGGCATCTATTATTACCACACTAAAATTAACCAACATAAATTGTGTTATACATGATTGTATCACTATACCTATCCTTATTTCAAGTCTCCTTAATGAAGATAACTGGCCACAACTATTAAATTGCTATTTTCTCCATTAGTCTATGTAAATCAAAGCAAAATTATGTATCCAACAGAGATGAAGTTTGATAAAGGCCATTCTTCCCCATTCACCTCATCTTCATTTATAGTTAAGGGAGTCCATGGGGCCATCGTGGCAAACGAGTTAGAGACTGATCAGAAAGGAAGGAAATAGCATCACCTCCTAAGTTCAGATAATTGTGTATTATTTCATCAATATCAATAAAACTATCGAACCTACTAAAATAAGAATGCTTTTGTCTTTGTAAAATGTTTCTGTACTTACCATTTTCTGCTGCCTGTTTAATTCCAGGTTCATCCTCCTGTGAATCTGGTGAAAGCCCAGTAATATCAAACCTGGAAAATAAGGCAAAATCTTAAAAGAGCTATTTGAGTCTAAAAATATGTACTCATGGTATATTTCACTAAATTCAGGATAAAAAGGGCTAACCATGAACATGAAACTCAAAATAAAATGTCTACAAGAGTCCAAAAAATTAACTCAAATTCTGTTATGACTCTGACATTCTACATGTTCCTTTCACCAACTAGATACAGATTCTGATGTTAAAAAATCACAATGCCACATAATTTTAGGGTAAGAACATCTAAGAAAATACCTAGTCCAATCCTACAGCCAAGCAGGAATCTCATCGCACACTCCTCTAAAAAGTCTGCAATAAATTCCAGCCATTCCTTTCCCTTCTATTGCATCATAAGTCAATCCAATGGAACAGAACTACTTTACCATGTCATTCTCACATGCACTACCTTCATACGTATTGAGCAGAGGAATTATACTGAGCTCTATCCACATTCTGCAAAACATTTTCATCACACATAGTAGATACCTCCAACTAGAGACCCAAGGGAAGCTTTCCTCTGGCCCTTTCCATTTCTGTATCAAGTTACATCCTTTCATTACAGTCTCTAGCCACATTAGCTAAAAATTTTGGTTCTGGATGAGAATTTTGCCAGAGAGGGAAGATGAAAGAACCAATGAGCAAAGTAGGCAAGAACTTGTGAAAACTTCGAAGGAATCCAGAAGAGAGAAAAAGGAAGTGAAGGGGTGGATAAGAAACGGGTAGGAACAAGAAGAGAGGACAAGATGACAATAGACTGGAAGTAGCTTAGAGGAACAAAGAACTGACTCTACTTCCTGACTATAAAACACACAAGGGTGAAAATGCAAGCCAGTGCAGCCACTCTGGAAAACAGTACGGAGGTTCCTCAAAAAGTTGAAAATAGAACTACCCTATGACCCAGCAATTGCACTACTGGGTATTTACCCCAAAGATACAAATGTAGTGATCTGAAGGGGCACCGGCACCCCAATGTTTATAGCAGCAATGTCCACAACAGCCAAACTATGGAAAGAGCTCAGATGTCCAGAAAAGATATGGTGTACATACACACACACATATACATACAACGGATTATTATGCAGCCATCAAAAAAATGAAATCTTGCCATTTGCAATGACATGGATGGAACTAGATGGTATTATGCTAAGTGAAATAAGTCAATCAGAGAAAGACAATTATCGTATGATCTCACTGATATGCGGAATTTAAGAAACAAGGCAGAGGATCATAGGGGAAGAGAGGAAAAAAATTAAACAAGACGAAACCAGAGAGGGAGACAAACCATAAGAGACTCTTAATCTTAGGAAACAAACTGAGGGTTCCTGGAGGGGAGGCGGGTGGGGGAATGGGGTGGCTGGGTGATGGACATTGGGGAGGATATGTGTTGTGGTGAGTGCTAGGTATTGTGTAAGACTGATGAATCACAGACCTGTACCCCTGAAACAAATAATACATTATATGTTAATTAAAAAATTAAAAATTTTAAAAAATTTTAAAAATCAGTAAAATGACACTAAGCATCACTGATTTTTTTTTTTTTTAAGATTTTATTTATTTATTTGAGAGAGAGAATGAGAGAGAGCACATGAGAGGGGGGAGGGTCAGAGGGAGAAGCAGACTCCCCGCCGAGCAGGGAGCCCGATGCGGGACTCGATCCCGGGACTCCAGGATCATGACCCAAGCCGAAGGCAGTCGCTTCACCAACTGAGCCACCCAGGCGCCCCTGAACTAGATTTTGATGAGAAAGAATGGCTTTTACCAATCTGCTGCTTTTATTGTCCTGCTTCCATGGTAGAAACTGAAAGAAGACCCTTGAGAGATTTTAAAAAATAAATTAATTAAAAAAGAAATAAAAGGGAATGTGAAAATATCTTGAGAGGGTGGAAGAGGAAGTGGTTTCCTTAAAAACCTGTCAACTCTCCAGGAAGGCAAGATATTGGAAGGGTGAAAGGCTGTTGCTTAATTAGAGTGTATGCCACATCGGGTCATTTAAATGTTGGTCACTGAAACCAGCAAAGGTTTATCAAGCAGTAAGAGATATTTTCTACAGTATTTCTGTCTACCCATTTTCTCCTGTTTCTCTACCTGTTGGTGCAGCTCCTTAAGTTTACCCGAGTCTAAAATACAAAACTTTAAGATTAAGCTTAAAGGTTTAAGGTTAAATTTAATTCTATAACTTTGCAGCCTAAAAATAGCTAATTAAAAATTGCCACATGGAAAAACAATTCCAGTTAAAAAAGAAAGAAAAGACAAAAACTAAGTATAAATAAGTTCTTACTGATACTTACCAAGAAGGCATAGCCATGTTCATATTCAATGTTACAGGCATAATTGGTCTACACGGGAAAGAAAAAAAAAACAGCAAAATAAGAGTAATGTGACAAGGCATAAAACCTGATAAATTTCATCAATTAAGAATAGATAATTACTTGAGGCTTACACAAAACTGTATTCCACAATTTTAACATATGAACTGTGTCACTGCATCCACACCTGTGTCATTTTTTCTACATATCCTCCAAATGTGTTCTGAAGATGGAACAGCAGCTGGAAAGGACTAAGCTTGGCAAATAAAAAACATTTTCCTTTCTCAACTCCCTTATTTAACACTTTCAAACCAGACATGACAAGGAAAACAAGTGACCAAGAGAGTTAGAAATGTATAAAATATGAGACTCTGGCTAAGGGTTTAGGAAATGAGCAATTTACCGCACAGATATAGTACATCAATTCCCATATGGTCAGATTACATTTTTGCTTATAGTCTAAGTTTTATCTATGTACTTGGTTATTTAAGAGACCTCTAAATAAATATGGGAAATATAAGTTTTGCCTAAGTGTCCACTACACCCAATTCAGGTCTGTGATGAAAAATCTGCTGGATAACCTGAATACAGCTAGGTACAAAAGAAAAGAAAAATAAATACACTAGAACTACATCTTACCACTAACCTCCTAACTCATAAAACAAGTCTACCTTAGAGGTCACAAAATCTTATCAAAATTTCTTTGAGAACATGAACTTCCCTAGACTGGGAAATAGCTTTAAATCAAATCAATCCTGGAGCCAATAACAATACAGCAGAAATTCTAATATAATCAAGAATTCTGTCTCATACGTGAATCAGAATAATAGAGGACACAGCCATTCTTGCCATAGTATTCAGCTGTAGCCTACAGAGGTCAGATTAAACTTTCTATTTCAGGATAAAAAGGGGAAAGAAGTTTTCTTACCTCATCAGATATTTTTCCTCTTTCCATTTCCTCTTTCACATTTATCAGCTCTACTGCTACTACCACTTCTGAGGATGAATTACTAACCTCCGAGCACGTATCTAATCCCATTTGTCTTTTCTACAGCTATTGTTTCTCAGCAACCTTTTGACCTAAAACCTTGCCAATCTCAGCAATTTTCTGAGTTTGCTCAAAACTTTATAGTTTCTGACATCCACAAACATTTTCAGAATTCAAAACCAAATCTATAAGACTTTAAAACCTGTGTTCTTTCCACAGCACACACATTGCCTTTAGCTGATAAAATTTAGAGTGTTTTCAACATAGTAAATAAAGATCTCTCACAAACCTGACAAGTAAATAAATCCCCTTCAGAGATACCTCATGGATATCCTTAGATCTCAGATGTTTGTATATCTAAAGAAATTTTTCTAGTTCTGAGTTCAATTGACCTCCAAGAAAGCATTATTTTAAATTTCCCAACAAAAAAGAAAAAAAATTCTATGTAGCCAAGTTACCAGTTTAGTTTTAAAGAATTTACTAATCTTTATTTTTAAACTGAATGATTTAAAAGGATAAAAACTAATTATATTCAAATGCTTTTCTAGGAAAATAAAGCTATCACAATTATTCCTCTCCAGATTCTGAATCACAAATGTAAAGAGTAAAATACTTACGCATGTGGGCAGATGTATTTGATATGTGAACTTCTGATACCTGCAAAGGCTTCTGCCCATCCATGCCTGGTAGAGAAATTATTTGAATGATGCCATTAGATACCATTTTAAATCCCAATAAGTTAGTAACAGAATGGTAACTTTAAAAAACTTGCAACGATAAATGTTAACTTCTTATAAAATTTTAAAAGTGTGGACCATCAATGCTATTAAAACACCACTACCAATGCAGAAACAACCCAAAGGCTACTACTACTCAAGCTTTACCTACAAATAAAGATGATGTCTCCGGATTTCTGAAGAGCAGTGTGTTTTCTTTCATATATCTCCACAGGGCTTTACAATTTACAAAATATAGATATATTTATCTCTTTATAATCTTACAACAACGTGCCTAACAAAGTAGGCAAGACAGATAGTAGAATTCACATAATGTGAATTCTCATATAATGATAAAAGTTGCCTCAGGAGTAAATCAGTTATCTTAAACTCTATATGCTAATAAATAAATATAAATAAACTACATGCTTACTGTACTACTAAAAATAACTTTATTTAATATTCTTTACTTGTGTGTATTATGTACATATACATGTTCAAAATGGAATACTAGAAAAACTGAAAATCATGATAATCCTTCAAGGCAGAAATAAGCAGTTAATCTTCTGATGTATTTCCTCCCAATTTTTTCATGTATATCACTTAAGAAACAGATAGAGATTTTACAAAAATGGGATACTATACATACATAGTTTCCTGCTTGTTTACACTTGACATTAAAACCGATACTTTTTACATGTTATTTTTTTAAATTTTTTTATTTTTGGGGGGGCGGGGGGCAGAGGGAGAGGGAGAAAAAGAATCTTAAGCAGACTCCGCGCCCAGCACAGAGCCAACACAGAGCTCGATCCCACGACCCTGAGATCATGACCTGGGCAGAAATCAAGAGTCAGCTGCTTAACCGACTGAGCCACCTAGGATCCCCTACATGTTACTTCTATTAAAGGATAAAGTAAAGGTAACTTAAAGGGTGCCTGGCTGGCTCAGTTGGTAGAGGATGTGACCTCTACTGGTCGTGAGTTCAAGCCCCATGTTGGGCATGGAGTCTATTTAAGTTTTAAAAATAATTAAATATTTTAAAAACCTTAAAATTTAAAATTAATTAAAATTAAATAAATAACGTGGTACCTGGGTGGCTCAGTCAGTTAGCGTCAGACTCTTGGTTCTGGCTCAGGTCATGATCTCATGGGCTGTGGGATCAAGCCCTGTGACGGGCTCCATGCTCAGTGAGGAGTCTGCTTGAAGATTCTCTTCCCTCTGCCCCTTTCCCCACTCACACACGCACACGCACACTCTCTCTCTAAAATAAACAAATCTGAGAGACAAACAGGGTTTTAGGGGGGAGGGGGGAGGGAGGATTGGTTAGCCCGGTGATGGGTATTAAGGAGGGCACGTACTGCATAGAGCACTGGGTGTTATACGAAAACAATGGATCGTGGATCACCACATCAAAAACTAATGATGTACTGTACGGTGACTAACATAACATAATAAAATTAAAAATAAATAAATAAATAAAATAAACAAATCTTTTTTAGTAATTAAATAAACATTAAATGATTTTCTATTATTTCTGTTTTAATCTACCTTCCCCAAAATGTTAAAGACATATAGAAAAATTTTAACACTTATGTAACACTAGCTGTGAGCCAGGCACTATTCTAGAGTTGTATATGTGCTTTGCATGTGTACACGTGTGTTTATATGTGAGTTCATGTGTGTGTCTTATGTGTGTATATAGATACATGAGATATATATATATGAGACTTCATTAGGAAAACTACAAAAATGTTGAAAGAAATTAAAGAAGACCTATATAAATGGACATCCCATGTTCACGGACCAAAAGACTTAATATTCTTCTTTTTAAACATTTATTTATTTATTTTAGAGAAAAAGAGTGTGCGCAAGTGGTGGGAAGGGCAGAGGGAGAGAATCTTCAAGCAGATTCCCTGCTGAGTGTGGAGCCCAACAAGGGGCTCATCTCACGACCCTGAGATCATGACCTGAGCAGAAATCAAAAGTTGGCTACTCAATCAACTGAGCCACCAGGCGCCCAAGACTTAATATTCTTAAGGTGGCAGTACTCCCAAACTGATAGAGAGTCAATGCAATCTCTATGAGAATCACAGCTGCCTTTGCAGAAATTGACAAACCAAATCTAAAATTCAGCTGGACATATAAGAGACCCAGAAGAGATCAAAACAATCTTAAAAGAGAGTAAGGCTGGAGAACTCACACTTCCCAATTTCGAAAGTTACTACAAAGCAATAGTAATAAAGACAGAGTGGTACTGAAATAAGGAAAGACCTACAAATCAACAGATTTGAAAATACAAAAATAAACCCTCCATTTATGATTAACTTATCTCTGAAAAGGGTGCCTCCAAAAAAATCAATGGGGAAGGAATAATATTTTCAACAGAAGTAGCTGGGATATAACAGGATGAAGTTGGACTTCTACCTCACACCATACACAAAAATTAACTCAAAATGTAGCAAAGACTTAAATGTAAGAGATAAAACTATAAAACTCCTAGAAGAAAATGTATGAAAATCTTGTGATATTGGATTTGGCCATGGTTTCTTAGTTACCAAAAGCACAAACAACAAAGAAATTTAATCATCAAAATTAAAAACTATTATGCTTCAGAGGGCACTATGAAGAAAGTGAAAAGACAAACTACAGAATGGAAAATTATTTGCAAACCATATTCAATAAGGGTCTAGTATACATAACATATAAAGAACTCTTAAAACCCACAAACAAAAAGACAACCTAAAAATAAATAGGTAAAGGAACTGAACAGACATTTCTCCAAAGATACACAAATGGCCAACGTGGTCAGGAAAAGATGCTCAACATTATTAGTCATTACATAAATGCAAATAAAACCACAATGAGATACCACTTTACACCCACTAGGATGGCTATAATCAGAAAGACAATAAATGCTCATGAGGATGGGGAGAAACCAGAATTTCCTTTTTTTTTTTTAAGATTTTATTTATTTATTCATGAGAGACAGAGTCAGAGACAGAGAGAGGCAGAGGGAGAAGCAGGCTCCCAAGGAGCAGGGAGCCCGATGTGGGACTCAATCCCAGGACCCTGGGATCATGACCTGAGCCAAAGGCAGACGCTTAACCATCTGAGCCACCCAGGCGCCCAGAAACCAGAATTTTCATATACTGCTAGTAACATGGAGTTACCATATGCCCCAGCAATTCTACTCAAAGGAATATGATGAACAATAAAAAGAAATGAAGTACTAATATATATTACAACATGGATGAACTTTAACAACATTATGTTAAGTAAAGAAAGCCAATTACAAAAGGCCATATATTATATGATTCCATTTATATGAAATGTCCAGGATAGGTCAATTTATAGAGATAGAAAGTAGATTAGTGATTATCTAGGGTTGCGAGTAAGGGGGATCTGGGGGTAAAAAAGAGTACAGGGTTTCCTTTTGGAGGGAAAAAAATGGTTGCACAGCTTTGTAAATACATTAAAGACTTAACTGCAGAATTCAAATGGGTGAATGGTGTGGTAATCAAATTATATCCCAATGAAACTATTACCAAAAGAATTAAAAAGGAATAAATGACCTGAGTCCAGTCATGAGGAGACACTAAACCTAAGCTGACAGTCATTCTACAGAATGTACAGAGGTAAGGCTCCACATTTTAAAAATATAAAGGATATGAGAGGCTAATAAACTATTTCATAATGAAACACAAATCACTGGAAAGGATCTTGGATCAGGAAGGAAACACATAATTGGGAAAGCTGGCAAAATTTGAATGGATTCTTTGGACTGGATGGTAGTGTTGGATCAATGCTGATTTCCTACTTTGGAGTGTTGTATGCTGGTCATGTACAGTATCCTCATGTATGGGAAACACCAGAGTATTTAGAGATGATGGAAAATCATGCTTCGGATGATGTCAAAGAATTAAAAAAAAAAAGACTTTGATCACTAGGTAATGAGTATATGTATATACATACACTTATGGAGACAGACAAAGACCTTGAGTGCATGCACAAATACACAATGTAGTAAAAGATTAACAACTGGGGAAGCTTGGTACCAATGATATGGAATGATTTCTTAGATAATAACACCAAAAGCACAAGCAACTAAAGAAAAAAAGATAAAATGGAACTCATCAGGATTAAAAACTGTTGTGCTTTGGGGTGCCTGGGTGGCTCAGATGGTTAAGCTTCTGCCTTTGGCTCAGGTCATGATCCCAGAGTCCTGGGATAGAGCCCCGTGTCGAGCTCCTTGCTCAGCGGGGAGCCTGCTTCTCCCTCTCCCACTCCCCCTGCTTGTGCTCCCTTCTCTCGCTCTCTCTGTCAAATAAATAAATAAAATCTTTAAAAAAAATAAAATAAAAATGGGCAAAGGTATTGAACAGATATTTCTCTAATGAAGATATATAAATCACTAATAAGCACATGAAAAGATGATCAACATGATTAGTCATTAGGTAGTCAATCATTTTCTTCAAAAAGAAAGATAATAACAAATATTGGTGAGAATCTGGAGAAATCAGAACCCTCATACACTGTTGGTAGAAATGTAAAATGGTACGGCCACGGGGACAACAGTCTGGGAGTTCCTCAAAGGGTTAAACAGTTACCACTGACTCAGCAATTATTCAAGTGAACTGAAAGCCTATGTTTATGTAAAATCTTGCAAAAGGATGTTCAGAATAGCACTACTCCTAACAGTCAAAAAGTGGAAACAATTCAAATGTTCATCAACTGATGAATTAAAGAAACATGGTATATCCATAAGATCAATACATGGATATCCCTCCACAGAATATTATTTGGCTAAAAGTAAAAAGTACTGGTACACATTACAACATGAATGAACCTGAGAAACATGCTATGTGAAAGAATTTAGACAGAAAAGAGCATATATCATCTGATTCCATTTATATGAAATACCCAGAACAGGCAAATCCATAGAAACTGAAAGGAGATTAGTAGTTGCC